CAAAGAATTTTCAGTAAGCAACAGAGGCTTGCCCCGATGACAGTGACGGGCACCCCGCCTTGGTCTGGCACCCCTGCTTACCTGCTCCACCATCCCGCCACAGCTGATGCCCGCCATGTTCTGTGCACGCCCTTTGGTGGTCAGCACATGTCACAGCGACCAGTTGTTTGGTTGTTCGGTTGTTCAGTTGTTCCGCTGTTCAGTCTATTTGCATATTAGGGTTTTATATATATAGATTCCCAGCAGGGCTCTCCCTTTCCCCCCTCCTTTGGTTAATGTACCTGTTCCTCAGGTCTCCTTCAGGTCAGAGGGATAATATGACCCATACCCAGCAAATTAGAGCATCACAGTTTCCCTGGCCTTAGTGATATGTGAAAGAATATTAACTTGGTCCACCTAACCAATGTGAGTCTTTCTCCAGGATTTTTCTCTTGATGATGGAAAGACTGTCTTTTACCTTGGGGGTCACAATGCTGGAAGAATGTGACTCTGGGCTGCCAGAAGCATCTCCCCACTTCAGGGAAGAAGACCATTTGCAGGAAGATATTGTTCTGAAGTTTTGTGTTCAGTATTTCTTCATACTCTTCTCGAACTTTCTCTTCACGTTCTTTCAACAAACGTTCACAGATCACCCCAACCTGCCGTAGGGTGAATAAGGGCTGTTCTTGCTTTAAAGGTGAGGATGTTGCAGATGGAGTCCCTGGCAAAGCTGGTCCACTGAGGAGAAATGCATGTAGCTGTGCATCTGAAGTACAACGTGGATCTGTCTGTTGAAAACAAGTTTCTAAATGTCTTCTCTTCTGCATGCGTTTATACTCTTGTTTTATGCTGTACAGAATTTGTTCTGTGGTGAGGCGGGACGAGACATCGCTGAAGGGGGACGGCTCCATTCGGAGGTGCTTCAGCCACGAGGCGCGAGGCGATGGTGGCCGAGGTGGGCGTCGACAATGGCGCACATCGCCGCCGCTTCAGGGACGTCGGGCTCGGGCTCAGCAGCGGGTCGAAATCCAGAGTCCTTTTCACTTCAGTCAAGGGATTTCAGTTGATCAGCATAGCGAGGTTTTTCAGCCAGGTTCAGTCTTTACTGTCCTGTTACATCTGCATTTATACCAGTTGATTTTAATCTGGCCCTGCACGCCATGGCCAGGCTCCGGGCGGGGTGGAGAGGGGGGACGGAGGGGAGGGCGAGGGAAGAGGGGAGAGCGGCGACTCCGAGAGCGGCTGACCCACGGGCTCAAGAGCAGACAGGCGTGTGGGGATGCGCGGTGAGAGGCCGCCGCCTCCGGGGCAGGGGCAGGGGCCCTGGCGGAGCGGTGAGAGCGGGAGGGGTGGTGTCACCAGCTCACATCAGCCACGTCAGGGGGGCTCTTTCACCTCCTCAGGCGCGGATCCCCCGGGAGAGGCTCGGGGCAACCCTGCTCTGCGCCGCCGCTCCTGAGGCGCTCCTGCACCGAAACCAGCTCCCTTCTCCCTTCAGCAGTCAGTCCATGCCAGCCCCGTGAGGTGTGAGGCTGGAATGTGGCCGGCTAGCTCAGTTGGTAGAGCACGAGACTCTTAATCTCAGGCTCATGGGTTCCTGCCCCACGCTGGGCGCCAGATGTTGGGGTCCAGCCCCAGCAGGTCCAGGGGTTCCCAAAGGTGTGGATGGTCGGAGTTGGCGAAGAAGGAATGACACGGAGGCAGCATTCAGTCGATCAGCATAGCGAGGTTCTCCAGCCAGGTTCAGTCTTTACTGTCCTGTTATATCTGTATTTATACCAGTTGATTTTAATCCTATCCATTCTATTCCAAAGGTTAGGGCGTTTGTTAATCTAGTTCTGTTGATTTTAATCCTATCCATTCTATTCCAAAGGTTAGGGCATTTGTTAATCTAGTTCTGTTGAGTTTAATCCTATCCATTCTATTCTAAAGGTTAGGGTGTTTGTTAATCTAGTTCTGTTGAGTTTAATCCTGTCTAGGTCACTGCTCTACTGATAAGTTACAAGGAAGTGATTGAAGGAGATTCTCCTACCCAGTAAAGGTTATGTTCTCCCAGCCCCGCTGCTTGCCTTCCCTGGGACTGCCCTGTGTCAGTGGTTCTCCGGGGATATAGGCTTTGGTGCTTTCCCTGGTGGGCAGACCCCTGGGGATGTGGGCCCAACAAGTCCCAAATTTATTGCCAACAGTCTTAGTCCAAGTTCTTCATAAGTAGTCCATGGTATTTCTGTAACACTAGGAGGATTTACTGATTTATTCTCTTCCCTAGTCCTGTTAATCCCTAACCTGGGGAAACAACCTTTCTCGGGGAGGTGATCCTGTTTAAAACACATAGCGCTCAGGGGGAGCAAACATATTAAGATTAGTATGCCATATATGCCAGGTCCCTTGAAACATATGCTGTGCAGATGTTTCTTCCCTGCAGCGACTGTGTCAAGCAGCAAGGATGGACCGGCTTCCAGCAAGAGAGCAGGAGAGCTCACCAGGGACACGGATCCTGGACTCAGCTGTGTCGGTCGCCAGCTCCTCCGCCCCCTTGCAGTTTCTCTGTTATGTGAGTGAGCATGCAATGGAGCCAATTAGTGCAGGGTTTCCATCACTGGCAAGGAGAGTTCTGATCAAAGAGGGATCATTTGTTGCAACAAGTGGAAACCTAGTCAAACTAACGCATGGATGAAGGTAATTTATTGTGAGGACTTAGGGAAATATACTGGAATCGAGGAGAAGGGTGTACAACTAGATCTTGTGAGGACCAGGAAGTCTCGAGGAAGCGCCTCTAACCATCTTTTCTTCTCTCACCTTCTGGGGTCTGGTGGCCTCAGCTCTGCTCCCCTCTGTGTCTCTGTTCCATCCTCTGTTTCTCTCTGTAGACTAGTTTCCTGTGTGACTCGTTAGACCCCTCCTATACCTGTGCTTACCATGGCTTTGACCAGATGTGGTGCTCACTGGCCTTGAGCTACATGGTTTTGCACCTCAGCCAATCTGTCTGGAGTGTGGTGTACTTATTACACGACCTTGGAGGAAAACAAAAGCATGTGTCCATTCCTGGGGCAGTCATCTGTGGCCAGAGGCATCAGGTCAATGGGTAGAGCCATGGCTACTTAGACCACCCCTTGAACAAGGGCTGTGGGTGGAGCAGTTTCTCTCAGTGGGATAGGGAGGCAACCATGGCATGGCTGACGGCTGACACCAGATGTCACCGTGAGAAGGAGACATTGGGTCCCTGTCCCTGCTCCCAGATTCCCCTCAGGGTCAGAGGGGACTCCAGTGTCCAAGTCATTCTGCTGTGCTCTTCCTGCTTCGCGGGGAACTCCCTCACACCTAGTTCCCATCCTAGCCTTGTGTTCCAGCACGGGGCTCTGTGCCTACCTGTCACCCTTCCCACAGTCCCACTCCCACAACTGAGCAGATCATAGCCTTCCACAGGTACCATGCCACCTGGTCCTGCTGCCCCCTCCTCTCTCTGATCCGGGCATGCATCTCTCCAGCACCACTCTTCTTGGTCCCAGGAAGGCGCAGCTCCTTGAAGCCTTTCCTGAGTCCAGAAGACTCCCTCCAACGGAGTGTTTATCACATTGCGTTACAAGTGCAGTTTTTATTTGTCTCTCTCCCCCACAAGGCAGTAATTTAGCATAATGGAGTGGGAAGACTTCGGAATAAAAAGAAGTCTGGGTTCAAATTCTGATTCAATCACTCATTAGATGTATGCCTATGTTTGCAATGTTTCTGAGTGTTAACTCCTAATGTGAAAAATGCAGAAAATAATCGCACCCACCTCATGGATTATTGTGAATGTTAAATGAGATACCATACATAAAATTAATAGCATTGTGCCTTTCCAGAAAGCAAGGAGAATGTATAATTTATCTTCATTACCTTAGTGCCAAGCACAGGGGCTTTGATATAGGAAACTTAATATAACTTTGTTGAATGGAAGAATATTTAATTCAAAGAATAAAGCTCTAAGGGTGGACTACCGGGCACTAAGATGGGAAGGGGTGCTTTGAGGTTGGGTGGTCTCTTCTAGCTGACAGACAATTGATGCATCAGGCAGCTTGTCTCCTGCCCTTCCCCAGGTCCCATATCCTGGGGTTTCCTTTCCTGTGATTAACAGGAAGGGATCACTTCTACTTCTGTCACAAAGAACTTCATGGTATCAGACTTGCTATTTGTGTTATATATATTTTGCTGCATAACAATATTACCACAGACTTTTTGCTTAAACTCACACACATTTATTATCTCATAGTTTCTGTCGGTCAGGATTCCAGGCACACCTTAGCTGAGACCTCTGAAAGGCTGCAATCAAGGTGGTGGGTGTGGGTGGGGTCTCAGTTGCTTTGCAGGCTGTTGAACCAAGTGCCCCAGTTTTGCTTTAGCTATTGGCCAGAGACCACCCCCGATTCCCTGCCACAGTCCAATGTCGTCCTCCGATGAGCCTAGTGGCAAGTACAGGAGATGAGCTCTGTATTTGCCCTGGTTTCCTGCCTGGGGCAATTTTCCAGCCATAGTACAGGGAAATAGAGCCCAAGTAGAAGGTAGAAGTCTTGTTGAACACAGGGAACATAGATTGGAATTTGAGGCTGCTATGTGGCTGCAATTTCCTTGGAAGGAAATACTCTAAGATTAAGAATAAACCAGAAATAGACCCTTATTGCCAGGAATTCCACTGCCTAATAGGATAAAATAAAGTACTATATAGAGATAAATGATAGAATCCAGAATTTCCACAAAGTATCATTGAAAATGTTCAGCATACAATGAAAAATAACCACACATGAATAAGCAGAAAAACATGACCTATAATCCTAATATATAAAAGCCCAGGATTGTAACAACTGATCACACCCAAAGGCTGACCAACCCGGAAGTCCTTCAGTCAGAGCTGGGTTGCCATGGCGACCCAGCACTAACTGTCCAGGAGGCTGAGACCCAGAGAGAGAGGCTGGGTCTGATCTGCAGCCTCAGTGGCAGCTGTTGATCAGTACTTGCCTCTCTATGAATGCTGTAATATTAATTCATGCCAGACTACTATAAATTGAGGATGCCTATTGAAGTCCCTGGAGAAACCATTTAAAATTACAGTTATACAGCTTAAAGCCAATAGAGTAAATAAAATGAAAGATAACAAAACTACTTGATTAATCCAAAAGAAGGCAGGCAGGGAAAGTAAAACATAAACTAAATATCAAAGAACAGGTGGGACAAATAGAAAACAAAAGCAAGATGATAGAATTCAACCAACCATATTAGTAATTATACCAAGTGAAAATGAATGTAAACTGCCATGGATTATCTATTGCTGAAAGACTAATTACCCTGAAATTTAGAGGCTTAGATTAACTAGCATTTATTATTATTACTATTTTTTACAGTTTGTGTATATTAGAAATTCAGGAGCGGCTTAGCTGGGAAGTTAAGGCTCAGATTATCTCATGAATGGCGATTGGGGTGTTGACAGGGGCTGCAGCAGTTGGAGGGCTTGACTGGAGATGGAGGATTTGTCCAAGGTGGCTCATTCACATGTCAATGGACAGGAGAACTCGGCCATGGGTGGTCATCTCCATAGCCCACTTGAATGCCCTTATGACATGGCATCTGACTTCCCCAGAGGGAGCAGTTCAAGTGAGAAAGCAAAGAAGAAGGTAGAGTGCCTCCCTCCCTTTTCTAAAAAAAAAGAGGCCCAGTGCATGAATTTGTGCATGGGTGGGGTCCGGTTGGCCCATCCTGATGGGGGGTAATTGGGGGTGGGGCCGGCCAGGGGAGGGGCTACGGGAGGTTGGGAGGGCCGATTGGGGCCCCGATCAGGCTGCCACAGTGTGCGTCATAGCGATGGGTTGTCCGGTCATTCCTTTGTTCCGGTCGCTTTGCTTTTATATATGTAGACTAAAGGCCCGGTGCACAAAAATTTGTGCACTTCATCGGGCCTCTAGTAATGACAATAAAATAAATAGAAGTTGACTCAAAGATGACCCAGATGTTGGAATTAGCAGACAAGGGTATCAAATAACTATTATAAATACTTTAAAGAAGTTCAGAAAAGGTGAACAAAATAGATGAAAGATGGAAAGGAATTAAAAAATAAAATTTTAAAATGGAAATTTTATAACCAAAAAATGTTTTCTTTGATATTAAAAATCTATTGGGTTGACTTAATACTATACTGGACATAATTGAAAAAAATAGTAAATTAAATAACAAGCCAATAAAAATTACACAAATGGAAAAATAAGAACAAAGAAAGTAAAAAACAAAGCAAACACGCCCCCCCCCCAACAACCAATGCCAAACAGAATGATAAAAAATTATCAAACAATCTAACATGTGACAATTATGGTATCAGAAGTAGAGGAGAGAGAAAAAAAAGTTTGAACAGATAGTGACTGAAAATGTCAAAATTGATGAAAGACATTAACTACAAATCCCAGAAGCTCATCAAATGCCAAGCAGAAAAAATACCTATGTAAATCATAGTCAAGGTGATAAAAAACAAAGATAAAAAAATCTTAGCAGTTGGTGTGTGTGTGCACAATATTACATTGATGGGAACAATAGAAACAAAAACAGAAGACAATGAAATATCATCTTTAAAATGTTGAAATAACATAAGATACTGAAAGTGAAGAATTCTATATCCAGTCAAAATATCCTCTAAAAATGAAGGGAAAAAGGAACTTTAAAAGGCAAACACAGTTTGACATAATTTGTGTCCATCAGAATTATGCTACAAAATCATTCCAAAGGAAAAAAAAATTGCTATATACTAGTATATAAAGGAACCCACATATAAGATCAGATTAGCAAAGAAAGAAGAAAAAGTACTTGACATTGTAATATGTGGGTAAATGTAAAGGGATGTTTTAACTTTTTCTTAAAGAACTGTTGATTGTTTAAAGCAGTGGTTCTCAACCTTCCTAATGCCATGACCCTTTAATACAGTTCCTCATGTTGTGGTGACCCCCAACCATAAAATTATTTTCATTGCTACTTTGTAACTGTAATTTTGCTACTGTTATGAATCATAATGTAAATATCTGATATGCAGGATGTATTTTCATTGTTACAAATTGAACATAATTAAAGCATAGTGATTGATCACAAAAACAATAATATGTAATTTATGTGTTTTCCAATGGTCTTAGGCGACCCCTGTGAAAGGGTTGTTCGACCCCCAAAGGGGTTGAGACCCACAGGTTGAGAACTGCTGGTTTAAGGCAATACTAAAAATATGATGGGATTAGCTCTATATGTAGAAGTAGAACATATAACAACAAAAGCATGGAATAGGGGGATAACTAGAGTTATACTGTTATAAATTACTAGAGGCCCAGTGCACAAAACTTTGTGCACTCGGGGGTTGGGGGGTCCTTCAGCCTGGCCTACGCCCTCTGGCAGTCCGGGACCTCTCAGGGGATGTCCACCTGCTGGCTTAGGCCTGCTCCCCAGGGGGATCAGGCCTAAGCTGGCAGTCAGACATCCCTCTGGCAGCCCGGGAGCCCTCGGGGGATGTCCAACTAATGGCTTAGGCCCGCTGGTTCCCATCATCACCACTGTGCTGGCCAGCCATGAGCCGGCTTCTGGCTGAGTGGCACTCTCCCTGTGGAAGCGCACTGACCACCAGGGGGCAGCTCCTGTGTTGAGCGTCTGGCCCCTGGTGGTCAGTGCGCGTCATAGCAACCAGTTGTTCCTC